TATCGACATGATTATATCAACACGAATGACTCATGAATACAGCTCGGGTAGAGAAAACAAATCTCATTCTACGAAATTAATTTCACATGGAAACCTGTATTTATCTCTAAGAGCATGCAATGCTCATAAAGGATAAAGAATGTTAGCTTTTTTAACACACACACACACATATATACATATATAACATATTCATGTTTACCTTCAGGACAGTAGTGTCCAGAGCTGCATCGACCTGATGGCGCTCCTGAACCAGCCAAACAGTACCAGCCATGTGGACATGGCTGGCACTCACTTTCAGCCTCCAATCCACTGTGACCGCTCCATGTACCCACAGGACATTTGTACTGGGTGGGGAACATAGTTCCAGCAGGACAATAATGTCCAGGAAAGCAGAGAAGTGGGGGTCTCTGGATATCTCCAGTTCCTGACAAATAAGAATTAACACAGACAAGTAGATTAAGGTGACACTAATATATGACAACGTTATTAAACAAATATCAACATGTGACAAAACTTGCATTTTCTTTTGCATCGTCTTCTTTTTTCTTTTTTTTAATAATGACTTTTGTGGATTTTAGTTGTTTAAATGCGACATCTTTTAAAAAGAAGCAGTGATGATCAGTTCTTAGTTAAAACATTTACTGTAATGTGAATGTCATTTATTCCGGCTGATTAGCAAACTATAACAGTTGTGTAGTCGTAATCATAATGCATTTGAAGTCTAGAAAAACAGAAACCAAATATAATGTCTCATATCACAAATATATACACTCAGTTCACACAGTATAGTAATACAGTTGTATACATAATTGAGCTTTGTATTAAAACCTGACCTGAATTCATATCTTCAGATACTATGAAATATCAAAGAGTACTTTTAAAGGTTATCTGAACATCTATATGAAATGTCACCTCGAAGACAGGCATATCGTGCTGGACACTGCTGACACTGTGAGCGGTCAGTTAGGTCAGTGCGATTGCTCAGTGTCCCCGGTGGGCACGCATTGGATGGCGCGTTTGGTTTTGAAGACCCAGGAGGACACACAAACCTGTCAAGATACGGACAAATTGATCAAAGTCATAGAGTAACAATGTCAAGGTGGGTTGAAAAGGAGCAACATAAAAATCAATGTCTCAGTGGCTAAATGCAAAAGTTACAGGGCTCCCTTATGTCAGATTTACAGTACTCTAAACATAAGAATACAATAGCACTAAAGCATGCTTGATTAAAAAAAGAATAAAACAACAACATTTTTTTAATCTTGAGATTGCAACTTACCCTTGCATGCAGTCTACATCAGGGGCTCTCAGGGCTACCTGTGTGCAGGCCTTTCCTGCATAGCACTCTCTGCAATCAGCCACCTCATCCTGACCCTCTAAAGGGTTGAAGGAGCCCGGTGGACAGGGCACTGGGTCACTTGTCCCCACAGGACAGTAGAAGGCAGCAGGGCATTTGAGACAGTCTTTCACACCTGGGGGGGAAATCCTACTGTCATGGCAAAGATACTACAGGATTAAGGCAAACAGTAAATCTGCTCCATAAATTCCTATGCTGTACTCACTGCTTGTGCACATAGTTAGGTTTCTCTTTACAGTCACCCATCATTTTTCTATACTGGGCTCACTGCTACAGCTTGCCATCGGCAGTTGTTTTTATATTGCTAAATTAGATGTTTTTCTATTTGCCCTCTCAGTGTCCATCTGTTGCAATAAACAACACCTATATTTTTATATAATCACTGGGATTTGCTGTGATAGAGCGCTATAATATCATATTAGGCTGGGGCTTTTGTGAAGGAGTATAAATTCATTTCAAAAGAAAATATTTAGTTTGACTTACTAAATATAAAACAGAGCTTTGTGTCTACTATAGTGTATATATAAATCAGTAATAATAATAATAATACTTATAATTAGTATTAATAATAATAATAGCATACTTAAACTCACTTATCGCCCCTTGATGAGGGGTGAAGGTGCCTGGAGGACATATAACTTCTTCCAAAGTACCAGCAGGGCAGTATCTACCCCGAGCACAGGGCAAACCAGGACTTGATGACCCTGTTTACAGATACGCACACACACTCTAAAATCTATATTTCATCTTATTTCTTCAACTATGAAAATAGTTACTTTCTGGGACACATCTTAATATTTTTGTCAAGTGAAGTCAGTTTGTTAATGCTGAGACTTACCTGCAGGACAGAAGCGTCCTTCCCTACATCTCTTGCATCCTGCCCTACTTGTCTGACCCAGTTGTTCCCCCGCTGTGCCAGTGGGGCAAGGTGACCCCTGCGGGGTGGCAGTGCCCTCTTCACAGTAATAGCCTTGTGGGCACAGGAACTGGGAGGTGGGTCTCTGTGAGGTACCTTCCAGACAGTAAAACCCTAGAGAAAAAGTATTTTTTATAAAATGCTATGTATAACACTCTTCATAGAAGAACATTTTAAGAGGATATTATACAGTCATACAGTCCAGATAAACTATTACATTTGCTTTCCAAGGGTTAGGTATGTTATAGATATGATGAGACATACTCTTCTGCACATATATAGTTTTTGCACATGGACAAACAATTTTACCACTTGTCCAGATGCTTTGCCACCATTCCTTTACCTGCAGGACAGATTGTGCAGTCTCTCAGTCTCTGCAGGCCTTCTTTAGGGCCGTAAGTACCTGCAGGACAGGGTATAGCTACCCCTCCCACACAGTAATGACCTGCGGGGGTAAAACACAGGTACATTTGACATTTCTTTGGTAAGTAAAGGAAATTATAAGATGAATGATAACATGCAGCACTTAACACCAACCTAATGGACAGACCATACAACCAAACTCTTCTGTCACATCTTTGTATGTTCCTGGTCGACAGGTGATGGACTGACTGGCTCTGTGGACTGGCTGGCTCCAGCGGGGGGTTATAGCTCCACCACACAGTATGGATGTGTTATTACAGCTGCTGCAGTAACCCTGTCCAGGTGTAGAAGACCAACCAGGAGGACAGGGAAGTGGCTGAGACATTCCACTATCTGGACAGTAACTTCCTAAGAAACAAAGAAAAAAAGTGTTTTTTACATTTTTATGAGAACTTTTTAGTTGTAAATAAAGCTATTTATATCAAACTTCTTTAAATGTTTGGGAGCAGAAGATTTGTTTTGTTTGTCTTTTATACCTGCTGGACACTGCAGACACTGGATCGTACACATAGTAGAATAAAAGCCCAGAGGACAGTCGTTACACACGGTGTGATCTGGATTGGGCTCCTTGCCAGGTCCACACTATAAGACATGTTGACAAAAGAGAAGAAAAAAAAAGAATGCCTCAAATGCACAGAATGTTGGAGGATTTAACTTCTTATCCACTATTATTAGGTCTGACCCTATAAGGGAAACCCGAGGTGCAGACAGAATCCACAGGACAGCTCAGACACTGCAGGACCCCCTCTGGCGAATGCTGTCCTGGGGGGCATAAATAAAGAATCCCAATGGTTGGATCACATGAGAAGCCTGCAGGACACAGCTTACAATCCACTCGTTCCTCTGAACTGATGAGATCTGGAAAACAAGGCTGCGACATAAAGAAATGAGCAATAAGAGCACACATGATGACAACAAAACAGCTTTGTAACTAATTATTAATTCCTGCATCGCTCTGCAGTCACTTGTCTTCACTTTGGCTCTTCTATGGGCTCTGCTATGACAAGTCATCATACTGTAGTTGAAACATGCATTTTCTCTTAATTTGAAAACAAAGCATGAAGCCAGAAGTGTTTTTGTTGTTTTGTTTTGCATTAACATGTCTTACCTTGCAGTCAGTGATACTGCTCTTCCCTGTGTACATGTTGAATGTTCCTGCTGGGCATCTTTGCGGTGCAGACGAATTGCCAGAGCAGCTATAAAACAAAAATAATTTATAATTTGTATAATTTATTATCCATTTTATAGAAAACTCTCTTATTAGTGAAAGAATACAGATCTAACAGTTCAAAAATAGTTGATGACTCACAAATGACCAGAGGGACACTCTAAGCAAAGCTGGTTGAAGAAGTATTTTCCTCCTGGACACTGATCCACATCTGTTTCCTCACTGAGGGGGTAGTCTGCACTCCCTTCAGGCGTTACATAAATTATTGTTAGAACAATAGATAGAACATTCTCGTGTAGTCAGTGTGGTTTTGGTAGTTACTTAGTTTAATTTGTCAATATTTAAAAAGGAGTTGCTTACCTGAAGAAACTCCAGACTCCGTCCGCAGTAAAAAGATAGCAAAAGCTAAAGAGCAGCGCAGGTGTATTATTTCCCATGAACACATTATTGCTGAATCACTTAGAAGTTGGTAACAACTAAGTTAACGTTAAAGACTTAGTGGAGTTAGTCTCCCAGAGTGATCGTTTAAAGACTTGAAAGTGAGAGGCCCCCAGCCACTAAAAGTGAAACGTGCATGAAATCTGATTCCCAGGTGGTTGCTTCAGCTGACAATAGTGTGCAGTAATGTTCGGTAACTATATCTGCTTCTTTCAATAATGCATGACGCGTTGAAGTTCACCTAGATGGTGTCTCTGCTGGTGGATCATTTAAATTATTTATGTTGCTCTTGTAAGTCATTAAGATGCAATAAAGAAGAAACTGTTTTTTTTAAGGTATTAAAAATGAAATTAAATCAATTCCATTGCCAAACATTAAATGTTTAATCACATAAGACCAATTATATTTTCACGAGGTAAAAATTTTAGGATAAATTATTTAATTACGGTGTAAAAGGAAATTCAAATGCAGCCTCTGTGGGTGCAGTGAGGACTAGTGGATCTGCAGACATTTTTGCGACTGCACTTTGCAGGATGTCAGGTGCAATAAATGGAAAGTTATGAATATTTTTAAACAGCAACGTAATCTTTGGGTTACCACTTCCTGTACCCTCACTCAAGCGTTGGAACATGTGTGTGGGTACTTAAGTGTGTTTGTGCAGGTGCATGCATCACCAGCCTACAGGAGCACAACAGATCCAGTTTCATCTTTTGAGGCAGGAGAAAATTAGAAAAACAGAGAACAGCAATGAACAGCTCAATCTATCTCACTTTACTCTTTTTTTGGATGACACGAGGTAAAGTTTATATGATGTTTGTTATTGCCCTGGGCTTTAGATATTTCAAACACATTTATTTAGACAAATGCGCGCTATTTGAGGTAAAAAATTTTATTACCTTTCTTCACAGATTGTGTAAACTGTATTTACACGAAGACACCCATTGATTTAGTGACTGTGGAGTTGGGGGACTCCGTTACATTAAATTGCACTTACAATTGCTCCAGTGGATTCGTTCAAGGCTACTGGAGTAAAGCGCTCAACATCTTTGGCTGCCACATGATGTTTAGAGAAGGCAGCTTTTGCACAGTGTTTCTTTGTCTCACCAATGTGTCCGCGGGACATCTGAAAAACAACTACACTTGCTACACAGTAGATAAAGAGGATCCTCAGCTTCAACAAAAAACAGAGCGTCTCTTTTTGCTTCAGCTTCGAGGTAGATAAACTTTAGTTTATGCAAATATGTGCAGCTGCTCAATAAAGAGGTAAGCAAATTGGATTTCACTTTAACTTTTCCTTTTTTCAGCTCAGAGAAGTCTTCCAAACACAGATGCTCCAAAAAATTACAACAAAAATGGTAAGAAGCTGTGATTTGAAGAGATGCAAAATTTTTCATAGCTGTAGCTGAACATTTTTGAGCATGACTTTCATTTAATATATTGCATTCTTCATTCTTCAGCATCTTTTCCTGCCAAGCCAAATTCCCCTGGAGGTGAGATGGGACTCTGAAACAGTGGATATTATGAAAACTTTTAAAGAGAATCATTGTTACTTATTAACATCTGTATGGAGAAGGGAGAAGTAAATGTTTGCCTTTCGATCCAGTTCAGTCTAAGTTAATACTGTTGTTTCCATGTTAACAGGAGAATTTACTGGAATTAAGGTTTTGGCAACAGTTTCCGTAGCTGTAGCCCTGGTTCTTGCAGCATTGGCTGTATACTTGTGTTTTAATCGGAACAGACAGAACTGGAACGGTAAAGGTGATCACAAGATACTACACTGTGAACATACACCAGCTTTAAAAAGTTCTGAATGATAAAATATACACAACTGTGTCCGTATAACTATTTAACATTATATTGATAATATCTCATATTCCAGAGGAGCCTACTGTGTCCAAATTGGAGTGAGTACAATTTCAGAACTTCTCTTTATTTAAATCTGACTTCAATTACCTTTAAATGTTAGACTTGCAATATTCTTTATTGGGCCTTTTGCTATATGTTTTCCTTTTCAGCTTACCACAATCACCACATGTAGCCCAGCTACAGATAAAAGGTAAACAGTTTTAAATATCAAATGTAAAAGCGACAAATACGAGCTTCAATTTTTGTTCCTTCTATTATTCATACCTGTCCTATTTCTCAGGGTCAACACAAAGTGAAAGGGTGACTTTGAGGATTCCTCCACCAGGTAAGACAATCTCAACACTTTTCATTTGAATGACACCTTATCATCATCTACCCTATAGAAACAAAGACAATAACTAATGAAACAAATGCTTTCTCTGACCCAGATAATGAGAGTGATACTGAAGTTCCTTACGCTGACATTATGATCACCGTCCGTGGTGTCAGCACACCAGAACTCACTCAGGTCGGCTACCTGATAGCCGGAGACCAAAAAGAGGTGAGAGACAAAGTAGTAAACATGTTTGTTACTTGTGTTTCACTGAGCTCGAAATGTTATTTCCCATGCTCTATTACCAGCTACTTGCAGTGTGCTGCAGCTCACATACCTGTGCATGAATCTCATTGCTAATTGCAGAATATATAAGCAATGAGATTCATTTTATATCAGAAACGTTCATGTGTTCATCTTACTTGTTCAAAAAGTTTCTTTTACTCATTTCATATGTGAGGAATGCTATAAATAAAGCTAAAGCAAAAATAGAATATTTTTTAAGGTTTTAAACAAATTGTGGCTTTTTTTTATTTACGTGTAATTGTAAGGCATGTGTGCAAAGCGATTTTTTGAGTGGTTACCTTCTTTTAAGTGGTTACCTTGTATAGATGTGCTTTGATAATTTAGAAGAAGAAAAAAACAGAAAAGCCTACAACCAGTATTTCTATTACCAGGGTTATTTTATCTAACTAAAGGTTAACTAAAAACTAAAAGTGGATGTGAAAACAAACAAACAAACTTTAATTAACTCAAAAACACAAACTTGAAAAACTAAATAACTAAAATAAAAAAAATAAAGGAAGTTTTAGTATTTGTTAGTTTGGTAAAAAAGAAAATGTTATCACAGCTTATCTGATGAGGTTTTGATTACTAAGACTTTGAATGTCTACAAGACTGAGTCAAGTTTTTTCAAAACGTTCTGTGTTTTTATTATAATACCTGTGCTGATTTCCATTAATCTTGCCCATATATACGTATATTTTAAAAAGTCTAAAACTGTAAATAAATAAATAAATAAAAGCTAGTAAAAAGTGCGAAAGTATAAAAACTCTGTTTATAGCACAAACACATTAGGGGTCTTTTTTATCCTTCTTCCCCTCCAGCGGTGGGGAGATAAACCGAGGTGTCACCTGCAGGCCTCTCGTTCAGCTGACAGACTGCATGTTCCCCAGGTCAGAGAGGTCAGCCGCAAGATGAGCACCAACTCTGAGTATGCAGTGATCACCTACGCCTGACTTCGACTGCTGCTGCAAAGGAATGTGAAGAAAAAATAGAGATATGTTTTTTATGTATATATGGTTTTGAAGGATGTATTTGTTTTCCATTTATGCTTTTTTTTATTCTATTGTTCGCGTGGTGTATCTGTATTGAGGTTTATATTCAATAAAGCTGTCATTTCTTGACTTTCATGTCATTTGACCCTTCCTGATGGCCGTAGTAGCGCTAATCGTTGCTTAGAAACAACTATCAACAAAACACTCCGGGGTGAACAGTTGGTTTGGGGTTGCTGCCAGTTTTTAGGTATCCACTGTGACTAATTCATAAAAATTTTTGTTAAGGTTTCTGGTATTCTGAAGTCAGTTAATGAGAGTCGTTTAGAGCTAGTTGTCACAGACGTTTGTGCCCCCTTAAAAAATGGCAGTGCCTTTCTCAAACACTCACCTGCGGGTCCCGCGAGGATTTGGTACCATACTAGAGGGACTGACCCGTGAAGTCCTACGAGACCAGCCTGAAGACATCCCCAAATATGCCGCGCAGTACTTCGAAGCTCTTCTAAAAGAAAGACAAGGTAACTATAACTTTCTAACTTTTAACGTGATGAAGTAACAGTATGTCCCGTTCAAAGATTTGTGTATGTTTCTTTTCTTCGCTAAATACTTGTAATAGTTTGCCTATCATATTTCCCACAAGCTCCTCGAAATTACTAGCATGTCCTTGTGACTTTGCATAATGTAAATGAAACTGAATTGACCTGAAAAGTACGGCTTTTCTGTCATTGCAGAGAGTGGCATGGACCCTGCCGAGTGGGCTGCTAAACTGGAAGATAGATTCTACAACAACCATGCGTTCAAGAGCCCTGAGGTAGTTGTATAAGTTTAGGTAATGGTCGCACCATACTTGTGCAACCTCATTCCCCAAAGAGTTGGACTGCTGTGTAAACTGTAACACGAAACAACATGCAGTGATATACAAGATACTCAATAAGAAAAAAGAAAAACCAACTCTGTGTTTACCTGAAAATGGTACCAACAGATATTAAAGGCTGAAAATAACTTTAAATTTAATTAGAATTTTATATAAATGTAATATCTGCTCATGTTTAATTGGACAAAACATTAAAAAAAAAAATCACCAAGAAAACTGCGGGCTAATGTTCCAAAGACTGGTTTTGAAAGCATATGTTGCCTTTAGTTGCTCGGCATATTATTTCAACAGTTGTTGTTCTTTTTTGTCATATATTGTGGTTCCAATGGGCCAGAAGTTTTTATTGGATGACAGGTTTTAACTGCAAACAGGCCAGTTTAGTTCTCTGACCTATACTGCAAATGTGTGCTGTTGTAAATACAGTGCCTTCTCATTTTTATTTATTTTTTTAGTTTGTCGCACTTAAATGTTTCCAAGAAAAGATTTCATTTATTATGAGAAAAACCTACCTGGTGTCATGACATGGTCTAAAGAAACACAAGAACAGATAAGAAATAAGGTCTGCAAGTAAAAGACAAATAAAAGTCCACCTCAAAATGGCTCAGAAAAACAAAATCAAGGCTTTGGTGTTACCTAGTCAAAGTCTGGACTTAAATTAGATTGATTCCATTTGCTATGACTAATTTCCTTCGGGATTAATAAAGTATTCTGATTCTGAAAAACAGGCTGTTCATGCTGCAAAAACCCTAGTCCTCCAATGCGAAATAAAACAAAGACAAACAAGGTTAACTTTTTACAAAATGTGGTCCTGCAATCTGTGAAGCTTGAGATCCTGCCACCAGTGTTTGATAGAGAAAAGAAATCTCATGTGACCATTAAATCTGCTCCTCTACCATCATAAACTAGTACTTGTTGGTCTTCTAAACAGGAGGAGTGCAGCCAGTCCCAGAAGAAGGAGGACATTGTGGACATCATGGACATCCCCCTGGATGATCCCGAGGCCAACAGGGCTGCTGCCAAAATTCAGGCTGGCTTTCGTGGCCACATGATTCGTAAGCAGCTGAAGCCAGAGGTCAAAGAAGGAGATAAGGTGAGCAACATTGTGTTCAACAGCAGCCAGTTGGACTGAGCTTGGGTATGAGAGATATAAGGCAGTTAATGAGTTGTTTAAGCATAAACCAATTAAACATTTTAGGGAAAATTTTCAGAGTTTAAAAAAATGAATTTGCTAAATAAAAAGTTTGATATTGTCTTTGATGCAAGAGGAAATTTTAAGGGAAAAACTCAGTTTTACAAAAGATAAAGGAGTGTTCTGAGAATTAAAGCAAAAAAAAAATTATAAGTGAAACTAATTATTTTTTCTTCCACATTCTTCAAACTTGGATCAAGCTCATTGCACCACAGACTTAAGCACAGTCATAGTAAGGACATTTGAAGAGACATTTCCATGAATTGGACAGCCTGTTCAACAGCAAGACGGCAAAGATCCAACTTTAGTACTACTCCTACATTGCAATAGAGAGACCAATATGACCATTGCTTCTTACAGTCTTGCTGCTGTGTTTTATCGAGAGCACTTTTTGAGTCTTGGGTCTGTCTGATGAAATAATGAGGTTTAAGGACAAAAACACAATTTTTCTCTCATTTCTGGAAATATTCATGACTATTCGAGGATTAATTGCACTAATGTGCCATCTTAATAAAACATCTCTTGAGTCCTACCATTAAAGCAACTGAATAATCAGTACATGATAAGCAAACAAATTTTATGCATGGTCTTAGGCAATTTAACATAGTTTGATGTTTTAGGTATGCTCCAAAAACAGTTTTCCATTTACACAGTAGAGAAAAAAAAATCAGTTTAAATGGTATATTCGTCTTCTTCTTCTGGCTATTCTTGTTAGAGCTCACCACAGTGGATCTGTTTCCATCTCACCCCATGGTCAGCATCCTCCTTTATCACAGACCCCCGGCATGTCCTCCTTCACTACATCCATAAATCTTATCTGTGGTCTTCCTCTTTTCCTCCTGTTGGATAGCTCCATAATTAACCTCTTTTGTCCAGTACATCTTGCCTCTGTTCATGTCCTAACCACTCTAACGAGCCTTGCCTCTCTAACTTTGTCTCCAAGCTGCTTTACCTAAGTTGACCTTCTGATATACTCGATTTTATGCTCTCCTTCTGTCACAAATCATCTCTGACACTCATCCCCTCCCACTCCACCCTGCCTGCACTCTTTTCTTCTTAAACTCATATACCTTCGCTACCTCTACTCCTTGCAGCTTCACTTACACCTGTCTCCCTCGTATTCACACATATGTAATCTGTTTTGCTTTCCTTCTCTCTCACTGCCTCCTAACATGCCTTCCGCCTTTACTCTTCATTTGTCTTTGGCTAACAGTAGCACAGTTTCCACCGGCACCCTGTTGGCAAACAGCACCAGAGGCGGTCATTGTTAACCTGGGCCCCAGCTGATCCGGTATGGAAATCTCATTCTTGATGTTTGTTCGATTTGGCAAAGATTTTAAACTGGATGCCCTTTCAGCAACCATCCCCATTAATCTGGGCTTGTGACTAGAAGTACACTGGTTTGAGGTGACAGTGAGCCCAACTGCAGTTATCTAAAGCCGATGAGAAGCTCTGCAAGCACAGTTCACTCGAGTCAAAAAAAGACTGTACAGCATCTATGGTTAACTTTAGAAAATATGGTCCTGCGGTCTGTTAAGCATGAGGTTCTCCCACCAGTGTTTCACACAGCAAAACTTTCTCATATAAGCATGAAATCTGCTCCTCTACCATCATACTTTGTGGTTCTCTTCACAGGAGGAGTGCAGCCGGCCCCAGGAGGAGGACATCATGGACATCCCCTTGGATGATCCTGAGGCCAACAGAGCTGCTGCCAAAATTCAGGCTGGCTTTCGTGACCGCATGAATCGTAAGAAGCTGAAACCAGAGGGCAAAATAGAAGAGGAAAAGGTAAGTAAAATTGAAGATAGCAGCCAGGGGGCCTCAGGTCAGTGGTGTTCAACTTTGGGATAAGACATGTAAGGCGGTTAAAGAGGGCTAATCCTATCAGGTACAACAACTACACTTAGTGAAATAGGTAAGTTATAAGCAAACTGCCACTTACATTCATCCTGTTGTATTTTACACAGAGCACTTTTGAGTTTTCCCAGTTTGCATTTGAGGTTTTATGAAGTAATGAGGTTTATGGACAAAAACACAATCTTTTTTTCTCATAAATTCAAGACTTTAAACCTCATATAAATATTCAAGACTATCTAAGGAGGCTGAAAGTTTGTAACATAAAAATAGCCATGATGTGCCATCTTAGGAAACAGTCTCTTGGGTCTTGCAGCTAAAGCAATTCAATATTCTATATAAGATAAGAAAACAACTTTTGGCATGCTCTTCAATAATTATTAGCGTAGTTTGATGTTTCAAGGTGGTTCCATTTACTCCATAATGCAGGAACACAGGCCATTTTTTCCCATTTACACTCCAGGAAAATATTTCCTCTAAATGGTATACATAATTAAATACACCTTTTAGAGCCTTTTTGAGGCTAAGTGAGATTAATGAAAGACGTAGCTGACTAATTTAACCACAGGTGATTTAATCTTTCAGGGGGTTTTTCTGGTATATCTGCTTCCAGATATACTTTAAAACTGCTAGTGATAAAACATTTTCATCAGAGCTTTTTCACAGATGTTTGTAAAGGCAGATTGAGTGGCTGCTGTTTTATTTTCTACACCTGTGGAAATGGTGTTGGCTTTTGAAGTGACAAAGAGCCCCATTGCACTTACTTAATAACAAGAATAACCACAATTTGTTTGCTGTCAAAAAAAGCAAAACAAATGTGCAGCTATATGGTTAACTTCACAAAATATGGTGCTGCAATCTGTTAAGCATGAGAATTCTTCCTCCAGTGTTTGATGAAGAAACTCGTTCCCATATGAGCATGAAATCTGCTCCTCTAGCATCATAAATTCATACTTGGTGGCTCTACACAGGAGGAGGGCATCCAGCCCCAGAAAGAGGAGGACATTGTGGACATAATGAACATCCCCCTGGATGACCCTGAGGCCAACAGGGCTGCTGCTAAAATTCAGGCTGGCTTTCGTGGCCACATGGATCGTAAGAAGCTGAAACCGGAGGGCAAAATAGAAGAGGTAAAGGTGAGCAACACAGGAAATGTGTTTAACAGCAGCCAAGGGGACTCAAGTCAGTGTTGTTGAACTTTAGGATAAGAGATATAAGACAGTTAAAGAGGGCTAATCCCATCAGGTGCAACTATACTTAGGGATCTAAGGTAAGTCATGGAGAAAATGGCTATTTAAGCATAAACAGTTTTATTCCTTTTTGGAAAAAACTTTCTGAGATTAAAGTAATAGATTTGAACTGAAAGGTTTGGGGTGATGTTTAAGGGTTACATTTTAGGTGATTTATTGTCCCTTTCTTAAATTAAAAAAATATATATCGCCACACGGCTGCCAATCAATATACAAATCAGCACGGCATTTTTCAGAAGATATTAACAATTCTCAATTTCAGCACTCGACATGATGTCTTTCTTCCAACTAATTATAGGGTTTAAATCATTTGCAAATCAAAGCAGATTGTTTCTGTTCAGCAGCTACTTTCAGTTCACTGTTGCAGACTTTTCTTTGTGTCTGTTTGTTTGTTTTTCAGACTAACACTTCAAAAGAAACAGCAACAGAGGTGACCGTTTCCAAGTGAGTCTCATGTGATGTGCAGTCAGGAGGCGCGAGTGGAAAGGGAGAGGAGGAACGAGAGGGAAAGGACAGAGAGGAGGGATGATGATGAAATACAGCATCGTTTTTTTGCTGCTGAAGTGCTTCTGGAGTCATTTGGTTTAAGGTTTTTTATTGTTTTTTTTGTAGGCACAGTTGTGGTTTTGTGTCGCTGTGGAAAACTAGAAAAGAAAAGTCACGTGACTGCAGTTATCCTCGCAATAAAACTGATATTTTTTTGACATGCACTATAACAGTCTCATGGAAGCTGAACGTTTTTTTTAAAACCAGAAATAATCAGTATTTTAAAATCAATGCTGTAGTGTAAGAAGGTTTGCAATTAATTAATGTTGCTAATGCAGTATTAAGCTTACATTTAGTTCATTCTCTTTATTTAATAGCCACACATCCTATAGAAATTTGGCATTTTCAGGGGATGTTATCAAGAAAAGGGAAAATACATTGTGGAACAAAAGCTTAGAATACCAGAAACTCATCAGCTTAGTAATGGACTCACTGTTAGATTTGCAGTGCCAAGGTTGAGGAGAAAGGGAAGAACTCATCAAAAAAAGACCACCAGCTGCAGGAAGATAAGCATAATTTCCAGATGAGTTTTACAGAGGCATCATTACATGTTCTCTTTTGAAAAGCATTGTTTTGCTCTGTCATTTCATGAGCATTTTAATTACATAAGTTCTATTTTTACTTTTTAGAGAAAAATCATTTGAGTCCCGAATTGAAGACAAATCAAGTCGTTCAGATGAAATCTCGCACCCTAATGTCTCAAAAAAGACTGAAAACACAGACAATGAAGAGTCAGTCTACAGGTTCCGAACAGCAGCTGCACAGTCAGAGGAACCGAGTGGCACAGACAACCAAAGCGATCCAGCAGTAACTGTATTTGATCAAGTTGACAGGGCGGCTAATAAAATTGTTCCAGACCAAAATATACCTCACTTTGAGTTAGAGCCCACTGACTTGTCATCATTCAGAGGGCTGTCAAATGTGGATGTGTGTGCTCTGGAGTTAATAGCATCAGAAGATGAGGAAGTTAACAAACAAGGACCAGCAGTTGCACACGAGGAGCTTGTCGATTCAGGAGAAGAGGAAAATACTGAAGTTGTAGAGCCAGTGGAAGTCATTCAGTATTCTGGCCTAGCTGATGTGGATGTGTGCGCTGCAGAGCTTGAAGGAACAGAGGGAACAATGAAAGGAGCAACTGCTGAGAATGTTACACGTGTTAGTGAAGAAAATCTGAAACACCAGCCGGAGGACATTCTTGTAAAATCGTCAGTGGCTCAAGCTGAAATCACTGAGAACAACCGAGAACAAGCAGAGGATCAGCCAGACAAAGGAAACGAGGAAAGAACAGAGACTGAAGCTTATTCTGGGGAGACTCATGAAAGTGTAGCTCATAGCAGGGGTAGCTTAGATGGTAATGTTATTCCAAAGGAGGATTCTTTGGTTGAAATTAGCTTTGAAGATGTTCCAGAAGCTCAGCAGATTAGTAAGGCTGCGGAGAAACAGCCAGAGGAACAGAGTTCAACAAATGCCTTACAGATGGATGTATTAGAAATGCGAGAGAAGGAAGAGTCAGAGGACACTACTGCAATTCCAACTGGCCACTGTGTTGCTGATACACAAGGCAGCCATAAACATGAAGCTGAAAAGGGAGTTAACAGGGCCAAATGGACAGATGACCTCAATTTAAGTGATGATGATGATGAAAAGGAAAAAGGTGAGGACACCAGCTCATTAAATCAGCATAGCACAGAGGCAGAAAAAGAGAACCAAGAGTATGAAACCAATCCTGCAATTGAAAATAATGAGCAGCTAAGTGAGGCCATATTTCTCAAGAGTGAAGATTCAGAAAAAGAGACAGGCTCAGATGACCCTGATTTCAAAGAAGGCCACATGACAGATGTGGTTGGAGGAGATATCGAAGAAACTCACAAGAAGGTTTACAGCAAGACAAGGGATCAGGAAATTAATGATGGTGGGGCGGAAAATAATTCATCACAAGCAACCCAGTCAAATACATCAATGGCTAGAATGGGGGCAGAGAGAGAAGTCTTTGAGGAGAGAGCGCAACATCCACCGGAGAACGAGGAGAGTCGGATAACACTTGTATGGTCGCAGCCAGAGGACACAGTGGAGGAAAAAGAGGTCACATCAAAGGAAGGAGAGGAACTTGGAGAGGGGATGACTGACTCTGAAATACAAGAGAAAAGTGCCATGATGCATGAGGAGGAGAAAATCACGCTCCCTCACAGTGCAGATTGGGCTGCTGATGTCCACCAAGGAGAAGAAAGGCTACCTGAGGACACCACAGTGCAAGAGAGTACCGACAAGGTAATCTTGATTCTTTTTAACACTGGGTGTTCACTCCTCCCTTTATCGTTAAAATGTGAAAGCTACTTTGCATCTTAAAGGTATTAATTAATAATTGTACACAGTAAAGACATGACCCTATTAAAAAATTAGCAATAAACTGAGTTTAACACGCGCCCTGGCAGCTAACTTCATGGCCTCCACTTTCTGTTAGCCAGCTGAGGATGAATGTTTGACACAGAGATGGCTTTAGCTAGGCTACAGTTTGTTCTGTTTCCATTCCTGTCTCAGGTAGCCTATATAAATAACCTCTGTGAGGACAAGCCTGATCAACAGAGGCCTTCATTTTCTTCTCCCTCGGTGGATCTGGGGGTGGGTGATTGAAAATACCTTCGAAATAGTTCCTTTTCTGGATGACTTATGGTAGTTTGCACTTATATTTTGAATGTCATTATCTCAGCTGAAATCTACAGGAATTTCACATTCAAAGTTAAGCGCAATCAGTCTTTTTTTCACATTTGGGCACGCGGAAGAGGCCGTCGGAGGCCTTCACTCCTGCCGCACTCCTCCTGGGAGCCTCCACTGCCTCCACAGATTGAAGCTTGATTCTCTAATCTGTCATCATAAAAGACCAACTAAACAATTTGTCTTGTGAATTAAGCCTGTAATTTTTTTTATTGCTGTCACAGTTAGCCCCGTCTGATTTGTCTGGACCAACAGGACTCCAAACACACACGCGCGCACACACACGCACACAAAGTAGGAGTGTAGGAAGGGGTACTGACTATGTTACTATGGTAACCCCTCACCATCCTGCTCTCTTCATGTCGTCATGGAATTAATAGGAGATGGTGATGCTGATAGTTGCTAGGCACCCTCTGTATCAGTAATCTACCTTTTAATAACAGTTTTAACCGAGTGATTAAACATCAGTTTCTGTATTTGCCTACCTAGCGATGGATTTGACTTTAGCTGAAACACAGCAAAACTGTGGAGTGTATAAATGTAAATCCAGCTGCTCAAGCAGTAACCTAGCAGCTCTCCCCTGTAATGTTGGACTGTTATGCTTTTAACTGTCTATTTACAACTGCCCACAACGAAATTCCTATACATTAATCATCTCAATACTGTGTTAGATGCACTCATGAAAGCAGGATCGACTTCTTAATTCATTCCAGTGAGTATAAATATAAATACCCAGTTTGAGAAAGTTAGCTGATCGATAAAGCAGGTCAGCCCAGTGAAATTAGGCGTTTGCATAACTTAGCATATTGTCTGAATGTGAATGGCAAGCAAACCAGCAGGAGTGAGTTAATGTCAGAGATATAACTCAGATAAATGGATGTTTTCTGTTTCTCCCTCTCTCTCCGTCTTGTCTCTGAGGCTGGCAGAGGAGTGTGGGCGGCTATACCAGCTGGGATCAGAGGGATGGAGAGGGCTGTTAGCTCACTCTGCCTCTAATAAATTTATAACACCTCCTAGTGTAAAATAGCCCAAGATGCTTACACAGTTTTATTTTCACACTATTTGTAGAATTTTCAAAGTCAGCATTTATTGTTTTATGGCCATCTGGTTTACATAGTAATTCCAAGTTTGTCACTTGTTTTTATTTGGGGAGTTTGTTATTGTAACACTGCAACTTGTGTGAATTTTAATGGTGCTTGGTGCATGTGGTAGTCTTTCCTAGTTTGCATCCAGGATGAATTAAGTTGTGGGAAAAACTGTCAAGCTATAAATTGCTGAGAGAGAAATAGAGCACAGTCCAGCCTGTTTCGTTTACTTCAGTCATCAGGTTGTTCTTAGTGAATGTTAAGCTCTGTTACATGTTTGTAACTGTAAAATGAACACAGTAGGTCAGAAACCCTAATGAGACTGAAAAGATGAACACATGCTGTTATGTTTGTAGGAGGTCTCTCTTTCTCTCCCTCCCTTCCTCTTCCTCTCTCAATCGTTCCCTTGCTGCCGCTCTCCCTCTCTCTCCCTCTCACTGTATGTCTCTCCCTCTCACTCTGTGCGTGAGCGGGTGTTACTGAACATACAGTGATTGTTAGTAAGAGCCAGTGAGACATCTGTATTATACCGGAGACTCGTTTAAAGAGAGCTTTTGCTTGGTCCACATAGAAATTCGGGCACAGAAGTCATAGCAGGTCATCTCACCTGAAGACTGAAATCATCTCTGAGAGTAAGAAATGGACTGTCATAACGTAAGTACGAGCTTCAGATGAACTTTTTCAAAAATATTTTTCGATCTATTTTTAGGCACTGATCAGTTTTCCAGGTGGATGCATGTACAGTTATAGTTTGTTAGTTGCCAAATGTGGTTGTCCTCGGATGCACACCGCTGTGTGTGTTTTTCTTTTTGCCTTGAGTGCAGTATATGGTAACCACTGTGGTTTCATGGTCCTCAAATAATGATATTTTTTTTCCACATAAAGGCTTGTTATAAAACTATTTCGAGCTATTTTCATCACATTAAAAGAGAATTTTCACCAGAATATTTCATATCAATCTGAGTCAGAATAAATCAAAGAGCCCTCGAGGAACTCAATAACAGTAAGACTGAGAAGGTGTGTTGCCAGAAAAATCCAGTGCAGCAGCAACCCTGCACCTCTGCTGCTGTGAAAGATCTGGATTCGGGCTGCTCAGTGAGCAGTCAGACAGAGAGGCTAATGAATGATGGCTGAACAGGTGGGTGGTCACACTCCTACACTGGAGGGGTTTCACTGGAGACATGATGCACTGCTTCACTGAGGTAGTGGGATGACAGTGGGATCATTCTGTGGGCTGCCTTTGTGTGAAATGTCAGTCTGTTACCATAAGCGAAGCACGGGGTGTAGCTGATATGCGTTTGCCACACGATTTGAATTGGTGTTTACATAACTCGTCGACAGCTTTGGCACTCTTCCACTGACAGTTTGTGACAAGCCAGAATTTCCACCCACCCTATGTTTCCTTTGGGACAGTGGATTCTGTACTTTTAGTGTCTGAACGAGAGGCTGCTGTGACTGCGACGCTTTCGCTGGGTCATCCTTTTTTTTTTTTTTTTACGCTGAATGCGGCAGAATTACAAGTTTATCTTTTCTTTGAAAGGTGACTTCTAACTTCACTTAAGCTTTGCTTGATGAAACTACAGTTATCCACAAACATTAAACTACCACGCAGTCTTTTTCATCAATTTTGTGCATTGCTTTATGTTTTGTGATATGAGAGATAATGGCTTTTCCAGGCTAAACGATGAAATCAGCAGTATTATATGCTGTATGTGACAAGAGGGGAAAGAGTGAGGAAAAAGCGGGCCATTGACCTCCTAAGAGCCCCAGTGAAGTTGTGTAACAAGAATGAACAAGTTGCTTGCTGTCAAAAAAGACAGTGCAACCTATATGGTTAACTTTACAAAATATGGTCCTGCAATCTGTTATGAACATGAGATTATCCCACCAGTGTTTCATGAAGAAAAACATGAAATCTGTTCACTCATACTTTGTGGTCCTCTACACAGGAGGAGTGCAGCCGGCCCCAGGAGGAGGAGGACATAATGGACATCCCCCTGGATGATCCCGAAGCCAACAGGGCTGCTGCTAAGATTCAGGCTGGCTTTCGTGGCCACATGACTCGCAAGAAGCTGAAGCCAGAGGACAAAACGGAAGGGGAGGAGGTGAGCATCACTGGGGATGTGTTCAACAGGTCAGTGGTGTAGAATCTAGGGATAAGACTTTAAAGGTAGCCAGCCCCAAAAGGAGTGAAATAAGGTAAGAGAACAGGTAAATTTATGAGGAAAAAAATTACAGTACTCGGAAAAAACAAGACTTTTTCTTTATCACTTTGCAGATTCGTGTCAAACTTGTCACACCACACACTGCTGTAAATGACCTGATTATGTTATAGCCTAATTTGTAATCGAAATAACGAAATTTTACATTTTTGCTGTGAATTGCACAGCTTGTTCAACGGCAAAATGGCATGATGAAGGGATGAAGCCGGATCTAATCCAGTTTTTTTTAATTGATTTTTTTTTCTTTAATTCAAAACTTTGTCCTCCTCTTTTTTTAGAAGGTATAATCTTGGAAATATTCAATATTATCCAAGGGGAATAAGACCTTGTAACATAACAGTGACACTAAAGTGCCATTTTAGTAAACTGTCTCTTGAGTCTTGCAGTTAAAGCAATTTAATATTCTCCAAATGATAAGCAAGCAAATTTTAGGCTTACTGTTAAATAATTTAGCACAGTTTGATGTTTTAGGGATGTTCCAAATGCTGCATAATGCAGGAACACGAGCCATTTTTTTCCCCATTTACACAGCAGGAAAAGAATCCATTTAAATTGTATACATAATTAAATACAACTATTAGAGCCCTTTGAGGCTCAAACCAAGTGTGATTAATGAAATACATATCTGACTCATTTAGCAACAGATGATTGACTCTTTGAATTATTTTTTTCTGCTACATGAATCTCTTTCCAGATTTACCGTGAACGCGCCAGTGATAAAAGACTTTAATCCGAGTTCAGTTTAGTTTCAAAAATGTCAAGCTACATTGTCACAACAGATGCTTTTTTTTTCTTTCTTTTTTTTGTAAGCAACTGGAGAAGTGTGAAGACTTGTTCTGTTTCAGCTCGAGCACACGCTGCATTTAGATGGATTTTCTGCCTTCTGCAAACCAAGATCAAAGATAAAAACAGTAAAAGTTAAACTCCCGAATCTGCACATCTGCGTTCCTTCAAATCATAGTTTGTCTTTTTAAATCTGGACCACTGGAAACTTTTTGAAGATATAAAACTTTTGAATCCTAGCTCTCAAAATGCCACTTTTTTCCCCCTGTGAGACAAAAGAGCTTTTTCTTTGGGGATGAGGTTGACACAAGGTGTCTACGTCAGTGATTCTTCCTAACCCAGTTGCTGGCTGCCTTGTATCCTTATGTAGGAGAAGTATTTATAGCTTCAGGTGCATTAGGTACACTATATGCTTTAAAGGGCCAAGCAGAATTAATGGGCCTGTCGTACTGGAACCAAGCGTCACAAGCACCTCCCACAGGGACAGACCCCCTTTTTTACAGCTGAAGTGCTCGTCAGTTTTATCGGCCATGATAAGGAATCAAGTTCTAAGCGTTGCATTATCTCTTTAAAATTAAACATATATTTTAATCATATTTGTTATATATATTCATCGTAAGAGTCATATTTCTTGGAAATGAACCGCCCTTAAATAGAAACTCAGTTTAAAGTTTCCTTCAAGTCCTATACAGTGCATAACTGCCATGCCGGTTTCTGTTTTTAGAGACAGGAAGATCGGGGGCAGTAGAGAGACGACACATCTGTGCCAGAGCAGTGACACCCCTGTCCCGACCTGGATGAAGAGAAAGAGGCAAAGCAAGGTAGTGAGAGACAGCCGGCATACGCTGGCTAGGCTGGCTTTCAGGCAGACCTTTTTACCCCAGGAGTCTTTTTTCAACACAAATTAGCAGTAGAAAATGAACAGTTTTGAGGGTGTGTTATGTGAATCTTTTTTCCCCTTCTCTTTTTTTTTTTGTGAACTTTAACACTCCTTCTCTGCTTCTTCAGCAGCCTCATCAGTACGGATGTCTTTGACCCAGAATTTGCAACTCACTGCATGTACTTGTGAAACTTCTGGTAGTGTGCTAGTTTTTAGACGATGATCTGTGAAAGTGAAAATGAATGTCCTCTAAATGCTAAACAGAGCTTTTTTTTCCTTTCTTTCTTTTTTTTATGGATGGATCACTTCATATGCTCTGTGTGTAAACCTCGTACGCATCACGTTGGGTGATTAGTGGCTTAAAAAGACTTCTTATTTTGCATTGTTTCCTGATGTGCTTGTATCTTGACAGTTCTTGACCTATTTGACTTGCTTACAAGACTGATTAAAACATCAAAAGAAAAGTAGCTATGTATGTTCTATTTGTTTATCCTTTTGGTCACATGGTTAGTGAAATCGTTCTTTCCACATTTCCAAGCATTTTCTATAAATCTGATCTTCCAGAACAGTACGCATGCAGTAATTTACACTCCTCTTTATTTGTTTCTCCAGATGCATTTGGTACAGCTTTAAATAATAACACACTGGTTCAGTATGCTCTGTTGTGTTGGTGGGATTTACTTGTTTGACTTCTGTTAAATCGGGTGTGTAGAAATCCTTTGTCCCTGTATGCAGAGGCTTCATGCTTAAAAAAAAAAAACAAAAAAAACACAAAAAAACTGAATAGTACCTTGCTGAACTTCGGTGTAGAGACGTGGCATTACACTAATAAATCCACCTTAAATATTCAGTGAGATGTCTGCTTTAAAGTGTCTGTCACCTCAGTCTTTGTCCGTGAATTAAATCCTTGATATTTTTGGTGTTTTTTGTAAACATTACAGGAGCCAAAGCAGCTCATTTTTCTGTGGAACATAAGCAAGGCTGGCAATTAAAAGCAGTTTCAGTGAAGCTGAAATAGTGTTCTAACAACAACTCTAATGAATGATTAACACAAAACTCTTTTGTACTAAAAATGTTTTTTTAGATGTTCAGATCATGTAAATCCACCAGCAGTTGCCTTGTCATAAACACTCTCTGTGTATATCCGTTTTACATTACATGCCAAAATCACAAAAGAATAACACAATTTTGCTTCATCTGCCGAGGCAGTCTTGTTCACTTTATGAGAAACAGGATAGAGCATCTTCAGTCTCCCGGTGCACCCACTCAGAACACCCACACACATCTGAGCCACACAGCGAACTGCACAAACTCAAACGGCACACACGCATTCTCAAACAGGAAAAACACGAGCCGTACTTCATCACGCAGATCCCGTTAAAGTCACTTATTGTCGCTCGCACGTCGCCAGCTGCAGAGGTGGAACAGCCAGCGCCTTTGCTTGCGGCGGTTTTTCGCAAAGGCAGAGCGCAAACACTTCCTTCTCAAGCTGACTTTCCTCCTCTCAGCCGCAAATCTCATGAACATCCTCTACGGGTTTTATATGGACCTGTTCTTTCTTTTCTCCTACTCAGTCCCAGAGGTGCCATGGCCACGTTCTCCTGTCTCTTTAATGACTGTGGGTGAACAATCAATATCCTGCACACCTCCAAACATAGCACAACACCCACTTCGTGCTGTAGATTGAATTCTGAAGGTGATGGAAAAGACAGTTTTACAAAAAAAAAAAAAGAGAGAGACATGAGCTGGAAAATCGTGTGAGGATATTAATACATCATCATGTGAGAGCCAGATTTAAACACACTAAAGAATAATATTTTCTTCTCTTCGCAGCTTGCACTTAACTAAAGCTGACCCGGACCATTTTAAGAGTAAATCACGAGAAAGATTTGCTTGGTTAGTTCATTTTCTTCCTCAGTCTGTCAGTGTGCAAAGATTTCTGGTCTCCTGGGTGATAATTAGAGAAGAATAAGCCAGGACAAACAGCAGGGGGCGTAATTATCCTCTTTCCAGTGGTTATGACTGCCCTCGCCATCTTAGGAGAGACCATGTTTTCTGAGTAGGATACACAAGTGGGCAGTGTGCAGAAAATATGAGCTTTATTTCTACATCTGCACAAATATCAGCTAATAGGAGATGTTGTTAAATGCAAGAATCCCAGATTTCAAAAGATATGAGTATCATTTGTATCATGTATGCACTGTGTTGCATCTGCATGTGTGGGGATGACATCAGTCTTAATGGGGTCTAAAAGTGACAATAGCTTCTGTTATGACACATTCAGCCAAACTAACTGAGACACACAGGCTCTGTCTGTTTCTAGTCCCCTCTTCGCTCAGCTGACTGGAAATTGTCCCCCTTGATTTAGAGCCTGTAAGAAGATGAGAGGAAATGGGAGGTGTTTCTTTTAGAGAGGGCAGAGGTGGAGGGGAGAGGTTCGACTTTGATGGCTCACTACTACAACAGCAGCTGTTCCCACAGTCCTGGAAGGTTTTGTTGTTGTTGTTTTTTTCTTCTTCCTATCAACGCAGGCTTCCTCCTCTGCATAAAACATCCCTTTGTTGTCAAACAAAATGCTCCAAAAAAAACTCCTGACAAAAGACTTTTAGAAGGTGGGAGAGATGATTTATAATGCAACTGACTCATCAGTGCACACAAACAAATAAAGAAAAAAAAACAGAAAACAGACTGATCAAACATACGGGGATTTCACACATGGCAGCGTGTCTGCTGTAATAAAAAGTGACTGCCAAACTTCCCAACTGATATTAGAGCTCCATGCAAACTGGCAGTCAGAGGAAGGATCTAAAGCAACAGAACTATTGAATTTTGACTTTTGTTGCATTGTCACATGTACTTTTTACCTCACATGTAAGATTCCCATTTTGATTTTCACATGCATTTGGATTTATGAAAAGTTTAGCATCACTTCCAATAATTTAGTTATCTTCTCTCTAAGCTTTGCCTCCGGCTCCTGACTTCTTCTCATATGTCACTTTGCTACTCTGGTGCAGTTTTGACTCCACCTAGAGGACAAACCGGGTACAAAACCTCTCTATACTTGCTCTTCGTTCGCTGCTATTACTATGAATGTCTTGTACATAGCATCGTGCACCTGACACAGTAGTGCGTAAAAACCAGAAGCAAAATACCTAAAAGGCTCCGTGTGATTGGTTTGGTGGTCAAGCAGCAAATTGTGTGTTTACTGTGAGGCTCCAGTCCAGAGAGGAGTTTGAACAATGCCACAAAAATAGGCCAAAGAGGGGGGGAAATGAGTTGTTTTTCAAACTCAGACATTTCCGAGCTTTAAGTAGATTCCAGAAGCTCTAAGGAACCTACTTAAAGCTCAGAAATACTTCTGGCTGAATTAAGTAGTCCTTTCCAGCGTGAATTTCTTTCCAAAGTAGCTGAACTCGACATTGAATTGCTTTTTGTGTAGTTAAAAGAATATAAAAACTTTTAGAAAATAGCAGACGATCTACTAAAAGCAGAGAGTTTCTGTTAACTACTTTTTGAAAGGGAAGAGGGGAGCTCGTCTAAACTATGTGTCATGAACACACACATGCAAACACACACATACACACAGTTGGCTGTTGTTGGCAGTGAGTGGGGTGCTGTGTGGAGAGTGGGGCTCAGTGTGACCAGGCAGAGGCCAGTGTTGCAGGCAGGCAGGCGGTGGATAGTGTTGAGCGGCAGAGACGTGCCCAGGGTGGATAAACCATGCTCACTAAGTGGGAGAAAGACTCTGCCCAGGACACAAGATGAAGGTGGAGAGGAAACCCTCCTCTAGAGACGGCAGTTTCGCTGACATTCCTCCTCTGCTGAAGCTCCTTGGCCTCCTCGTCTTTGTCCTTTCAGGTAAGTCCAAGTCTTTGTTTGACTATTAACAGAAAAAAGAGGGTAATGATCTGCAGGCTGCTTTGCTGAAGGAATGTAAATAGTAAAATGAATGCAAATAACAGCCTGAGTGTGCCAATTCACAATAATTATCATTTAGTTCACATCTTTATTTCAGATTTCTATTATTTGATAGCCTTTAAAACCAAGATCCAAGTCTTTCACACCGACTCTTTTTGAAGCAAAGTTAATCCCAGTTAATTTAGACGCTGATGCTTTTATTTTTGTCCTTGCACTTTGTGAGGTTGGCAGCACAATGGATTTGTTCTAGGGTGGTGCTCGTTATTGGGCTCCCATTTAAAGCTCAAAGGAGCATGGAGAGGCCATTGAAGGCGTGCGAGGAGGGGATGTCTAGGTTAAGTGTGATGATAAAGAGTTTTGTGGAGAGCTGTTGAACTGGGCAGGGCCTTCTCCTGAGTGTGTGGGTAGTTTCAGATGAGGAAATGATGACCAAGTGTCAAAAGTTTACAGTACGGTGAGTTTGGTTTTAAAAGGTTTGGATTGATTTCTCAGCTGTACCAGTTTACCCAAAGCAGGCGAGTTTGGTGGAATCACTGAATCCTGTGTCCATCTCCAACTTCACCACTGACAAAGAATTTCTCTCTCTAACCCTCCCTCACTCTTTTCAAGGGAGGAAACTAGTCTCAACAATCATGCCCTTTGTCTTATTGCCTTGGCAACCCCTGTCAGGCAGACCAAATGGTTACCACGGCAATGAGGCGATGCCTTGCTAACTGCCTTTCTGCAAGAATGGTCGCTCTCTCTCTCTCCCTCTTTTCCCCTCTCTCTTCTCTGTCGCTCTCATAGGTTGATCTCTCCATCACTGAGCCAGAACAGTAGGATGCCCCTCATGGGCCCGAAGCCACTGTTCAGACCTGCATGTGTCCAGCTACAGCTGATTTACAGGAACTCCACTGTGGACATAATGGCTTTGCTATGTTTGGTTTCCAAGACAGGGTTTCTTAAAAAAGCTGAAATGTGGCTCACGCTATATTTCCTTATTCCAATGTCCCTGTGGGGGTGGAGGATAGCTGGGGTGCACAAATCAAAATTAGTGTATTACTTGTTCACTCCAGGAGATTATGAGGAATTCTTGAGAAGGAGGGTGGGGTTCACAGAAACAGGGTAGTAATCAAGACATGAACACTGAAGTAAAACCAGCATGTGTGTATTCAGTAAAACTAAAATGTGCCAACCTTTTGATCGTTAAGAGAGAGAAGAAAAAAGTGAAAGTAAAAAAAAAACATGTCAGAAATGTTATTAAAGGATTTATTGCCCACATTTAAGTCATCGGTCATGTAAAAGCGATTCTTTTTCACATAAAAGAGCAAAAAGGGTTTCGACACTCGAGAGAAAAGCACTTGCTATCTCTATTTCAAGGCGGCCTCTGCACATTTAGGTCAAATGCATTTAAATCCTTACAATCTCCTCTTGTATTCTAGCGGCGTAACACGACTGCAGTGATCACAAAAGTTCCCAGTACAAATAGATGCTCTTAGACACTTTAAACTACTTCACTTTAAGAACTGCAGGTTTTACAATATTTGGCAGATTTGCATTTGCAGGTAAAATTTTAACTCAAATACATATGTATAAAATATCAGGGTGATCCAGTAGGAGAGCAGCTTTGGAGTATACCACATAGGCGCAAATGCCAACAGCTGTGAGTTCTTGGTTTGATTTCTGGCAAAGTGGACATTGCTACATGGCACTCCCTGTAATTTAATAGGTTTTACAGCTTTAGGTACTGATAAAGAGCTTTTCCAAGGTAAATACGTAACATAGTGTGCAAAAACATTTTTACACAGGATTTTTTACAATACGAAAAAAAGGAAAAAGCAGAAATCTTTTATATGACTTAACAAAATCTTTCTGTTTTATACTTCCAGGGTAGTCTGGGGCTCTGGGCAATGAGCTGCCATTACTGTTTCTGTCATTTTGAACATTTATGAC